AATCCACGTTGCCCTCTGCCCCTTCTGTCTCCTCTCTCCATTGGAAAAGTGGCGCCATTCTGAAGCCGCACCTCATGCAAACAGCGTATCTACCATGCAGCACGGTGCCAAATACTATTGTTCTACCTATAGCCAACGAAGGGTCATCACACCACACCCTAGGCCGAGGCCCTGCTTGCCTGTGGCATGGCACTGCCCCTGCGCCTGGCTGTCCCTGGACACGTCCAAACGTGTCCGTGGGCATTTGTGGTGTGCGGTTTGGCGACCTGTGTTGGAGTTGCCCTAACTGCTAGTAGCATGATTGGCACATCCTTTTTGAAAGCTTAGGCAGCACGACAAAGAACCATGGATCCATCGAAACAGAAGGATGGTGTGGGTAATGTGATGATGGGCTCGATAAATAGAACTGTAAAACATTTCCACGTTAAAGCGAGTAAATTCTATTTGAACCAGACATTTATGAGATTGCAACACTTCGACTTAAAATTTATCATTGGGGTGATCTGAAACATATTTTACCTTCATCACACCGAACAAAATTTAAGGGATGACTCCATCGGTTTTCACAATACGGTCTCACGCAACAGGTCAAGATAAAACCTGGTTTAGAGTGTCTTGGATAAAAAAATCTGGCCCCAAGAATATCACAATACCTGGTTTAACGAAATGTACTACTGCAATGAAGTCGTTCACAATCACAGCTTGGTGTCTTATAAATCATGAGAGAAAGAACTACTTAACTGCTTGGGGATACCATACCTAAAATAAGGAATAGCTACTCACCATTTTTTTGCGGGGGTTAGCTACTCATCATATGATCCAAATATATCTGTACATACAAATTTATGTACGAAACTTATGGATATTATTTATTTATCTAGAGAAACATGTGTTTTTATTAGCATAGATTCCGTGTCCCCCGTTGGATAGGGGATTACTCGAGAAAGTTTCAAAGAATGAAATTATGTAGTGAAATATCCAACATGGTCCTCTTGATGAAATTATGTAGAGAAATATCCTACACGGAACTTTTGGTAGAAAAAATATGATCCTTGTAAAAATTCCATGGACATTCACTATCATTTAAATTCCTAAAAAAATGGCACGTATCACATTGACCACTTTTGATTATATCATATACTCCAGTCATTTGGAAATACATGTATTTTAGAAATTGGTATTCCCTCCAACATGAAACTTTGATCGTTGCTTTTCATATGACAAATACTGAGGTAAAATTATATAGATTGCAATATTGCATTTTTACAACAAATATACTGATATTATTTTCAGCTAACCAATATTAATATTTCCCATACATATTGTGAGTCAAAGTTGTTAAAAATTGACTTTGGTCATTTCTAGAACAACATGTATTTCCAAATGGGGAAACATTGTTCTTCGGCAACTAGCAATGGAATATTGTTCCTATTAGGATGTGTTACAAATAGGCTACCTCATTTAATTATTTGATCAATAAGAAATTGTTATCTTTGCAAGAATAGAACTGCTATCTATAAGAATTTAATGGATTTTTTGAGTGAAATGGACTTCTTTTTTTTACACTATTCCGTGTTTATGAGGTTTACATATTTTTACTTATAGGATGGTAAAATCATTTGCAGGAAAATAAATAAAAATTGTATTGAGTCCAGTACCTTGATTTTGGCCCTCTTTGCATAGCATCCTCGGTACAGAAGGGCATACACGAGAAAATATGTACTCCCTCCGTATAGGCACAAAAAGGACTGCTATATATATTTGCCTCAAAGAAGTACTCCAGAATATAGTAATTTTCCTGGTTGTCTTATATTGAAATATAAACTTGTGGCCAAAAGTGCATTCCTTGTCGATGTAGAAAACACCACATTTTGGTGAACTAAAAAAAGGTAAATATGGACATAGACTGAAATCTATCAATATCCGTGAGAAACGGCCCATTCTCTAGCTGCTGATCCTAAAAATATCAGTTCTTGTAAGGTCTTCTGCGCTCCGTTCTATCACTGGAATACTGATCAGATACGCTCTCCCTTTCTTTAATCTCAAGCTGTCAACTCTCTAGTTAGGGCCAAAGTCTTGAAAATGGCCCCTTGTTGTAGCAGTCGAACCGACTCAATATTTGTACATATATGGGAAATTCAAGCAGACAGAGAGAGCAAGTTTTGGATGCATCCACATCAGTATATCCTAGTACATCGCTCGCTCACATGTACAACTAGATATCTAGAACTTCTCTGCCTAACTGATGGAGCTCGACGTGCATATGTGTGTCTTGCTAGCTAGGCAACCATGCCGACATGGAAAGATATATCCATGTGAACGTTTGATCGACCATACAAAACTACAAGGAAAATATACTAGAATAAACCTGACTAGTAATATATAGTATGAGAATATCAGCATCGCACATACTTCGAGACTATTTGCATGAAGGGCCGATGAACTTGCTTGTTCCATGGATTGAAGGTAAACGATAAGCTAGCGATCCATTTGACAACGATCGATCTGCGCGTGAAATGGGCAGCAGATTCATCCAGAGAATCAGTAACTGGACGTACGTCGATGCTTAGCTGATCTCTATCGATCGTGTGAAATGAAGAATAAAAAGGTCTCCATTGGCCACACGGCATGGAGACGCTATGTTTGACCCAGCAGTTAGTGTACTACATGCATCTTTGTCGATCGTCCACCTCCGCCTGCCACGTCTCCTATTACTGTAAGTGCACTGCTCATTTTCTCTGAACCATCGGATCTCAAGGGTCTCCAATCTCTGCCGTCGACGTGCATGCAGGGGGAGGATATAACTTGATACATCTCTAATCATTTTTAATTGATGTGTTCTTACTTAAATAATTGATTCCATGTATAAACATTGGTATCCACTTAATTCTTCACATATTATATAGTAATTCTTCACATATTATATAGTATTACTAATTAATTCCTGATAGTCATATGTACAATACTAATGATCGCTCAATATATGAAGGTACGGAAATGGAACATAGCTGCACAGAAGCATATCGACTTGAAGAACAACAGCAGGTAAAACTAATAGCCAAGTACTCCTTGTGGCGCTTATCAAGAATAATGGAATGGCTTTAGGCTTGTGAAAGTGCATCTAGGACCCAAATGATGTATCTGTTAGACTATTCCTTGAATCACAAGTCTCCTAGTCCAAGTCGGTTTGTAATATCAAGTCTAAGTCGGTTTGTACCAATATATATAGCCATGTACCCTGTGCTAAACATAATACAAGCAATAGTTTTATTCATCTATCATGGTATCATTTTTTCGATCCTAGGGTTAGGGTATGGCTCCATCCACCCCACCACCGTCGCCGCTGCACGGCTACTTCGAGGGTAGGGCTGCTATCATCGCCGGAGCCGCCGCCACGACGGCCTCTTCTTCCTCTACTCTTTCCCTAGCACAACCAACACCTCCTACTACTCTTCTGGCTGCGCCCATGTCGCTCGCTGACACCATCACCGATGTCAGCCCATTCATCCCCATCATCCTCGACCTCGCCGCCCACAACTATTATCATTGGCGCCACCTCTTTGATCTACACCTGAGACGCTGCAACCTCCGCTCTCACGTCGCCGCGAACATTCGTCCTCGCCCTAATGATCCTCAATGGGTGAAAGACGATCTCGCGATTGTTCAGTGGTTCTACACCCGCATCACCACTGAGATCTTCAACATGCTTGATCACGACGGCGCCACCACCGCTAACATCTGGGACTCTCTTCGCCAGCTTTTTTAGAGCAACAACGACACTCGGAAAAACGCTCTGCACACGGAGCTTCGTAACCTGACCCAAGGCGATGCCCCGGTAAATCTTTTCTATCAGCGTGTCAAGGCCATCGGTGACGAGCTTCACGAACTTGGTGATCCCATCAGCGACACACAACTCGTCAACATCATCGTCGTCGGGCTGAGCGAGGATTTCGACAAGCAGGCCTCCTTCATCCCAATGATGCGGCCTCCTCCAACCTTTGCCGAAGTCCGCTCTATGTTGCAGCTCACGGTGGACACTCAAGCTCGCAAGGACTCTCGCCCACGGGTCTTCCATGATATGGCTCATTCTCCTACGCCGTCCCCATCAGCGCCTCCCCCGCCAGCTCCTGCCGCCCCTGACGCCATCCGTGCAACCACCTCTAGGCTGGCGCCCTAGTCCCAACTACCGCGGCAAAAACCCCATCTACAGGATGCCCTCGACGCGCTCGGCGCCTCCTTCGACACCACCGCCTTCAA